CTATTTCGAATAACCCTGAATTCTGGAATGATCCCAAATCTTTTAATCCAGATAGATTTTTAAATAAATCTGATGGTGCTTCTGATGTACCAAGAAATTCTTTTGCTCCATTCGGTGGTGGCCTTAGGATTTGTCCTGGAAGATTTTTGGCAATAAATTTGCTAAAGACTTTGATTGTTCTATTTTATAGAAAATACGATATAAACTTAGTCAATAATAATGAAAAAATAAAATACCACCACAATACGTCAAATCGGGTTTATGATCTAAATATCAAAATTAACTTAAGAAAATTTTAAAAAAAATATAATATTGGGATATATTATAATATAGCCATTTTATTATTATTATTTATTATATTCACTCTTTTCAGTTTATGATTTACTTACTTTATTTCACTAAGTTCAATTTAGAAGAGATTTGCTTATCGTTTAGTAATTTAAGTAACTGTTGTTTTTGAAATTTCTTCTAGAATTAACAAATTTTTTAATGTTAATAACAATAAACTAATGAAATTATAGTCCATTCATTAACAATGCTGTACGTATTAAATTTTGAACGATCTTTCTTACTATATGTGTTCAAGTTTGTCATTCATGTGGTGTGAATACGTAGTACTTGTCAGAAGTTTGTTTGATTGGCTAATAAATTCAATTTAATTTTACATTATTTATACAGTTTAGATTACTTTTTAAAAAAACGAAAACTAATCATAATAAAATAAAAGAAAGCTGTATAGAAGGTTTTATTAAAGCTGTAGGACTACATAGCCAAAAATAAGATCAATTCTCGTCCGTTTAATAAATTTAGTATAGTAATAACTTCTCAAGACCCGATAAAATCAACTTATTACTAAGCTAAATTTTTTAAACGAATGTGAAATAGATCTTATTTTTATTATGGAGTTATATAGCTCAAATGAAACCTTCTATATGTTTTTTTTTTTTTTACTTTATTATGGTTGGTTTTCGTTTTTTTAAAAGTATTCTAAACTGTATAAACAATATAAAATTAAATTGAATTTATTAGCAAATCAGACGAACTTGCGAGCAAATTTCAATCGAATCCTATGTAAAACAGTATAGCCAGTTAATAAAATTAGCAACGTGGTAATAAGCGCTTATGATACTTATGCGTATAATAGTTGAGCGGACTCTAAAAAATAGTTAGCCCGTGTTTTCCTTTTCATCTCTTATCCATAAATTTTGCTCATTTATGGATTTGCTCCTTAAATGATGTAAGTATTCAGCTTGCCAAATTATATTACAAATTCTTGGAATTTTTACGGAATATAATAATCGGGGATCAAATGGGAACCGTCGATGCTACACAACTGATTCTTCACCCGGCGTGCAAAATATAAAAAAATACTTTACAATGCCATCTCATTCCGCTAGTACATGTTATAATTATAATCCCACACCTTTTGTTATAGTAAAAATTTGTGGGATTATAATCATAACATGTACTAGCGGAATGATCCGGCATTGAAATTAATTTTTTTATATGTTGCACGCCAGATGAAGAATCAGTTATGTAACATCGACGGTTCCTCCTGTTCAAATGGACATATCAACAATCGGGGCGTCACGTGATATCACGACTCCTGATCTATGCAATGTAAACAGTTAATTCTCTTAATGTCAAACTTTTAATAAAGAACTTTTGAATGCGCTATAAAATTGATAGTTCATTATAAAAAGCTAATTATATACTTTTCTATTCGTTATTTGACACATAATAAAGGTAGTCTTATATGTAGAAATACAAGAAAACAAATGATTACAATTTACTCATATTATAATGAAATTCTCAGGTTGGGAAAAATTCTTCACTGTAACTTATTTTGAGAGAATACTAAATATACTTGACATCCAGCTAAGATTTAATATCTTGTAATTAAAACTCTTTATTAAGTCAAAAGTTTGTTATAAATATTTAATCTATATTTAGGCAAACTTGTTCTTTTTGTTATTTAACTAGTGAGTATATTTGAAAGTTTACAATGTTTTATAGTTCATCAAATTATTTTTTATTTGTACCTATAGTTTATAAATGCATATTATTTATGAAGTTAAGCTTATTATAATAAATTTCTTTATAATGATTTTTAAATATAATGAATATAAAATTTTAAATTTATAATTTTTTGGTTTAGAACTTTAAAAACTTATATAGGTATTTAATCAAGAGCAATTAATAATGTTTTGTTGATGCTTAACAGATTTTTGTTAAATTTCTTAATAAGTTTTTTTAAAAAAAATAAAATTGTATTTAATAATGTTTTTAAAAAATATTCAAAGTAAAAGCTTATAAGTAAATGTGGAAGGTCATGTTAATGATGGTCAGACCCAATGTACAGGGCAGACTATGGTACCTTGCACAGCTGTGAGAGTCGAGCATATGGTGATCGATCCTGTAAAAAACAATTTTGAAAGATCATTTACAACATCTTTAATTCCCTATGATCTTCACATATGTTTTAACAAATTCCTTCTTTATTATAATTTACTACTTCTTCCTCATGGTCAAACTATTCAGACCTTAATCCAACATATTGACAAATATAATAATAACAAAACTGTATCTAGTATCACATTCTCTGTTAATTCATCTTACAGTAAAACCTATATATACCTTCCTAATGACACTTTTCTGTCAGATCATATTATTATTGCTCCACATCTTCTTCTATTATTCTATAAACTTCCTTTCAGATCCAACTCCCTTAGCTTTACTCTTATTCTATCTGATTCTCTCTCTAATGATCATTACTCAACTCCTATTGATTATAACTCCACTTTACACTTTTCTAACTCAAGTTCTAATCATCTTAATCTAACTATTGCTATACACAATATTAGAGGCTTTAATGATCTAACAAAAAGAGAAGCCTGGCAAGAT